TTTTTGAAATTAACTTACGACAATGGAAAAATAGCCTATCTTGTGCAGAATTTTATGCTCTTTCTATTACTGTCCTTGGACAAAAATTTAACTGCGTTTTTGATAGGGAATCAGAGGTTTTTGTTCTAGTCTTAAGAAAAAGCTTTTTCGGATACCTTTAGGATAGCTTCCACAATTACCGAGAGTCTCAATCTCTTTTATGAAAATATATGTACTCTATGCAACTTTTCGTGCTCTATCGAATGCGATAGTTTAAATTGAATCTCGTTACATGAATGAAGCGAAAACTTATTTTTGTCGAACTACATAGTATTATTTTGAGACTTAACTTTTCTACCATTTAATTTCTTAAACGATCGGAAAGTTTTCACAAATCTTGTTTTTCAGCATACTGCTGAGAGTCTCCTCTTTCGAATGGATACTGAAAACAAATCATTTGAGTTGATAAAATTAGCAGTTATTCAATATTTTTATATTTAGGGAGAGGGGTCTTATAATTATTGGACATGTGAATTCGAAGGTTTTTGAATTTATTCATTATTGTTAATTGATCAAATTCAAAGCAATATGGTACATGATAGACTGCTATTATGTGTCCATGAATATGACATTAGATTGAAAATGAAACCTTCTTTAGTTGGAGAAATATTTATTATTCTCCAAATTTAAGAGAGAGTCTTATAATTTTTGGACACCCTGTATATCCGTTCTAATCCTTATTACATTATTTTTTTCGATTCTATTTCCATCCCACCCACTTGAGCGCAAATCATGACTTGTCGTCAATTTACTATTAACGAAAAAGTTTGGATAGTAAAAAATATGCATAGGCTTGAATATCCCATTCAAGTACAGAGACTTTGGCGCAAAGAGATGGAGAATGAGCCTTCCAGTCGTCCTACAATCAATGCAATAATGAATAAATTCGAGCAAACTGGGTCTGTACTTGGTATTCATTCACCTGGTCGACCGGTGTTGGTCACAGACCAGAGCACCACAGATGAAACATTGAAAATTTTAACTGAACAACTTCACACATCAACTCGTCGCATGAGTTTGCAGTTAAACATTTCACAGGACTCAGGTCGACGTATTTACAAGAGTCTTGGATTCAAAGCATATGTTCCACGATTAATTCAGGAGCTGAATGAAGACGATTTTGATCGTCGAGTAGAGTTCTGTGAAGCATTCTTCTCCCTATTAGAGGATGACCCTGATGTTATCAATCGGGTGATCTGGTCCGACGAAGCTATATTCTAACTCAATGGCAAGGTTAATCGTCACAACTCAGTTTATTGGTCGAAGGAAAATTCAAATATCCTGTGGGAACAATCAATGCAAGCCGAAGGTCTCACAATATGGGCCGGTATTTGGTCTAAAGGAGTGATTGGTCCCTTTTTTTGACATCACTGTTACTGGTCAAAGTTATCTCTCCTTGATGAATGATTATTTCTATCCATTATTTCGTCGTCTACCAGAGAATGACTCCATGCTTCTAATGCAAGATGGTGCTTCTGCTCACTACGCTCGTGATGTGAGAGAATGGCTTGAGCAAAGGTTTTCAGCGAGGTGGATTGGTCGGCGAGGTCCCATTGATTGGCCAGCCAGATCACCTGATCTAACACCTACAGATTACTTACTATGGGGGCATATCAAAGAAATCGTATACAAAGAAAAACTTAAAAATCTATCAGATCTCAATGAATCAATTGTGTCTGCATTCCAGACACTCGATTCTGATCTTTGTAAGAAGGTTTGCGAATCGGTGCCTGAAAGACTTCAACGATGTATTGATGCTGATGGACATCAATTTGAGCATCTCAAATGACTTATTTTCTATCTTTTCTCAGTGTACATCGCTCTACCTTCTTGAATAAAGATTTGTCTTGCCTTCTTTTTGTTATCGTCTGATGTTGCAGTAGAGAAAATATGCCAGAAATAGTCTGAATTTCCTTTTTTTAGAAACTGAAAAATGCTATATTAACGAGTTTTGATAATCAATGATAGTTCAAAACAATATCCATTGATGGTTTTCTTATGAATAAAAACTTTGAAGACTTCTCTATCATCCACAAAAAAATCAGCCCTATATATACGAGACAAGGGGGAGATATTCAATTTTTGTATCGTAAATATCTTTATGACTCACCCTGTATATTCAGAATCAACATAATGCTAACCGTAATTTCTGCTAAAGTTTATGCTGGTATTTTTTAGAAAAATTAATAGATGGCGTTCTGTGCTAGTTGTCTATTACACAATCAGAATACCGAACCATCAAAATGCACGAAAATTTTTTAACTCTTACAAAGTTCTCAGATTTCAGTGAAGATCATGGCTTCCCATGTTTCTGAGTTTGCTTAAGCCCTTGTACTAGCCATATCGACAATTTAAATTCAAGCTTCGAGTTTCGATACGTATGATACAGACGACGTTAGTAATGGCGCTAACAAAACTAATAAAGTCAAAATGAGCACGATTAATCTACCGTGTTAAAATGCTTTTAGATATGCTTATTTTTCTGTCCATTTAGCTTTTTTAATTGTCTCTGTTATAAAATGATCAACACAAATTCATCGATGAATTCGTCTTGGAAATAATGGTATAAGTTATTCACATCAGCTAGTAGATCATTCCTTATTGCTTCTCGTATTGAACTTCCATTATTGATTTGTATTAAGAAGCGAAAAATAAACCAAATGATGAGTACACAAAGTCTGCCTACACGAGGTGGGCGGGACGATGTAAAGGATGAACGGAGCAAGATGAGACCGGGAGATGTTCAGAAAAATCATTCACGGGGGATCGGCGAGGCGGGTTGACAAAAATGTCAAAGAACGGGTCGTGCATACCTCTGATATCATATACACATTTTCCATGGATTGTTAAAATTGATCGAAAAGAGCATAGCATTCATAAGAGAAAACTCCGATGGACATTAAATCGAATTCGAATCGATTGAGTTCTTTAAATGAACGATATGATTCGATATTTTGATTTTTCTTGCAAAATACTATTTTTCCGCAATAAAAAAGGTAATCAAATCCTGAATGATTGTAAAATATATGAATTATTCGAACTCAATTAGAATTTTTTTTTGTTGTAGGAAAATGCTGCGATTTATGAATTTACTGCTCGAATTGACGATCGATTGATTACGGCTGTGGTGAAAGAAAGAAGATCAGCCGAGGCCATGTATGTAAATGCAACTCAACAGGGACAAATGGCAGTGTTACTTCAACAAAGTGAACGGACATTTGACACTTTCAAAGTAAGTCACTGGAAAATCACATGATATGGAATGATCATTGGATGTTTAGGTATATGTGGGAGCTCTACCACCGCGTCAAAAATGCATAGTAAAGATTCGGTATGTGACCGAATTGGATTTGATCGATGGATATTCCATTCGTTTTGTTGTTCCAACTATCATTGCACCCCGATATGATCCAAGGTTAAATTCTGCGCGATCGCTTGATGGAAGACAAGCTAAGTATGTTCAAAACTCTTCGTATTCAATGTTATTTCGAGCACATATTGATCGAAGCGAACAAAGTAAGTAAAAATCGTTCAAATACGATACTGTTCGGTAAGCATTAATCTCGAGAAAATGTCTGAAATTCACTATAACAGCAGGATAAAATCGTGTTCGTTCATTTAGAAGTATAGCTTCTTTTTCATGATGTCATAATAATTCGTTTTTTTTCTTCAAAAATTTGCTCCTAGATCAAATTATTGCAGTGGCTAATATGTCTCATCCGGTCAATGTCAGTGAATCACATCAAACAATCGACATCTCTTCAGAAGGCATTGCACTCGATCGTGATATTATCGTGGATATTGATTTGCCTCAAAATCGATCTCCAGTACTGGTTGCGGCAGAACAATACAATAATGGTTCAAAACTTGCTATTCTTACTGCATTGAGTCCTGGTAACGCAGATTTTATCTCAATATTCGATGAACAAAATCCAATTATTGCAACAACCGAATTTATCTTCATCAGTATGTTCTGCTTTTCTGATTGAAAATAGTGAATTGACGACTCATCGTTACTTTTTTATTTTAAATTCATTGAGAGAATCGTCTAGTAATATTATCGGTGAACTTATTATTTTTTTAGTTGACTGTTCTGGTTCAATGGATGATGATGATCGCATTAATCTTGCTCGAGATGCAATGCTTCTATTCGTGCGCAGTCTTCCAATGGGCGCTCATTTCAATATAATTCGTTTTGGATCAGATTATGAAATTCTTTTCAATGATATTACACTTACGACTTCTGTGTACGGCGAACGAACAGCCAAGCAAGCTGAAAATCTTGCACGTACGATGGCAGCCGATTTAGGCGGTACAGAATTATTGGCACCTCTACAATACTTGAAAGATCATCCACCGGCTAGTGGTCGATCACGACAGGTGTTCATCTTGACCGATGGTGAAATCCAAAATACAGATGAGGTAAATAAAACTGATGTCCGTTTCAAAATATAATGCGTCCCACTGTTTTTTGAATAACCCAAGACGCAATCAGCTAGAGATCTGCGGTTTTCACCAATCGAAAGAAGAGACAGGGGGGCGTCTTTTTCTCCAATATTGTGTCAGACAAAATCATTTTAGAACCAGTCATTTCTGTAAACCATTGCAAAAAATGTATGAAAACGACCCGGCATTCTGAAGAAATTTTCCTTTTGACATGTGATCTAGATAGACGGACTTCGGATCTATACTTCAGGATATAATTCGAATGATTATCTTATCGCATCCTAACGTTTAGCAAATAAAATCGTCTATTTACTCGCAAGAAAACTATGAATTTCTTTTAATTTTGTAGCAAATTTTTTCACTTTTTTGTCAAAATTTCATCTGAATGACAGACCATTTTTTCGATGTTATGCAGAAATGACTGGTTTCAAAATGATTCCGCCTGATACGATATTGAAGAAAAAGACGTTCCCCTGTCTCTTCTTTCGATTGGTGAAAGTCGCAGGTCTCTAGCTGATTGCGTTCTTGAGTTATTCAAAAAACAGTGGGACGCATTATATTTTGAAACGGACATTAGAAGACAATATTGGCCTACTTGTGCCATATGATTATATTGAAAAAAAATTACAAGTTTACCTGATAAATATCGAGAATTGTTCTATTTTTGTAGGTAATTGAATTGTGTCGGTTAATGTCATCGACTACACGCATTTTCTCGTTTGGTCTTGGGCCTACACCTTCTCGATCCCTAGTCAAAGGTCTTGCTCGTGCCACAAATGGTCATTTTATTTTTATTCCTCCGAATTCCACAGTCGATAGGTACGTTGGTATTCAGCTTCGTCGAGCCCTTCAACCGTCGTTTGTTAATGGTGCGTTGCAATGGTTTGGCTCGTTGCCTAAAAGTTCTCAAGCACCAAGAACTATTCCTCCAGTATATCCAGATGATCGTGTACTTGTCTATACTCTATTCGAAAATTTCAACTTTCAAGGACAATCACCATTGGTAGATTTTATGGTCGAAAATCGTCGAATCGGTAGTGCTTCATTCAATGGTAATGATGTACGCGAGGGGAATACGATTCGTCGTTTGATAGCTAAAGCTTTAATACAAGAATTGCTGCATAGGGGAAATGAGTCGTACAATAAGTAAGTTGAACTAGTCTTTGTTGCTTAGCATTTGTGTACCGATACTTCTACTCTCAAAATTCATTCATGAATCTATATTTCTCTAGTACTAATGCGACAGCCGAACAGCATATCATCGCACTTTCGTTGGCTCATCAAATCTTGTCACCATATACGGCGTTCGTTGGTGTTGAAACAAGACGTTTGGGAAAAGCAATACTTCGCAAGACCTATATGTACCTATTCTAATATCGAAAGTTTACCAACAGTCCACACCATTGCCAAGTATCAAAGGTAAACATGAAACAGTGAAAACGTTGTTTAAACCGTATCTCTTGCATTATGGCGTCGTTTTAGTAGCGTTTATCGATGTAAATGCCTAGCTTTTTATCTCTGAAACGACATTTACGTGTGATAAACGGGTGTTTTGGGCAAAAAACCCTCATTTTAATGCAATATTCCCGTTTTATCTTTCAGCAGAGTATGGTCATGAGGTATATTTTTTTCTAGAGCAACCATCTATTGTTCATCCAAGTTCTACTTCAAGCACGACGACACGTTTCGATTCGATAGCCAGTGGCAATCAACCGTAAGTGTTCATCTTGTTTTACAGGGTGGCCCAAAAGTTCTGTTACCAAAGAAAAAATTGAATAGTTCTCCCATATTCTAACTAATGTGACTGATTTTTCTCCATTGATAAAGGAGTATGCATAGTTCATATTCCTAAGAAAATCGTTGAGAAAAACTCTTTTGAAATGTCATGATTGACTTCAAAAAAAAATCGGTAATCTTTTACGAGTTCTGGAAACACTATGTCCTCCTGATCAAAACAAATGACAAGCATCATTTTTTCGATTAATTCTTCTCACTGCTATCGTTTGACTTCATATTTACGTCACAGATCCATGTCTTGTTTCTTTCAGTATACCTTGAAAGTTTCAGTTATGTACAGTGAGAATTTCCTAAGAAATTCGCAAATATGTCTCATATATTTTTGTGGAAGGCTACTGTTTTTCCATAGAAATTAGTCGTCAAACTTCAAAACAGTTTTCGCCAACACTTTTCTTATGAATATAAACTATGAACATCCCTGTATCAATGGCCAAAATATTAGCCAATTTGGTCAAAAGATGATGGAAATATTCAAATTGTTTTTCTTCAGTAAAGTAACTTTTGGGCCGGTCTCTATTATGATGAAGTTTGACCATGTCGTCAAGCTCATTTAGGCTGCAGGATATTCGATAGAGATTGGCTCTAAATCAACTCGAATCAAGGTACTCGTTTTAAAAAATAGGTTCCACACATATTTCTAAGTTTTTATGAAAGAAGATAAATTTGTTTAAGTCACGAAATACCGAGAACTACTTTAACATGAAATTCTTATTGCACGGCTTTCTTAATTTTCGATATCATGAACAATGCTATCTCATCACGAATCTAATTAATCCTGATAGGATGCGTTGGACCAGGGGCGGCGGAACGTTTCCAAATCAGGTGAGGCTCAGTAAAAAACTTTTTTTTATTATCCTAAGTAACTTTTTTCTTCTATCAATGTCTTCGTTGACGAAAGGGTGTGGATGTGGGTGGGTGTTGGCTTTGGTTTATTTTGTTTTCTTCTTCGACATCCACATCAACACCCCAAAGGGAAAACGGCAGATTTCAACTCTTTGGAGTCCCTTGTAACCTCATAGAACCTTTGAAGTCCCATGGAATGCCGAAATATTTTCGATTTCCCTGCAAAAGCCCTTTATAAAAATTATAAACAGTTATTTCTTAATTTTTTTTGTCGATCATTATATCAGATAGGATAGAAATAATTAAGGAGATGGGTCGCAGCTATCTGGAGGGTGTGGGTCACGTTGGACAGAAAAAAGGGATCAGAAGCAATTGCCAGGCGCCAAATCGCTATTGGGTCGAGACTATGTGCATTATGTAGGCTCTAATGAGCTATGAACACTCTGAAAAAGACTCGTGCTTCTTGCTTATTTCTATCAAGATATTTGATTTTTACAGCAACTTTCAGCAGAACACCGTGGTCTTTGTCAGATTTACTTGGAAAATCAACTTTCAAATTTCGATTTGAAAGTTTGTGCAGAGAAGGGTTTCAATCAGACTAGTTTGTTCTGATGGTTTCAGATTTTTGGGTTCTTTCTCTCTTGAGATACGAGTGTAAGAAAAAGTACTTTTTTTTTCACATTACTTAAAGCACAAAATGTTAAGTGTTCATATTTAAAGATAGGAGCAACCAAGAAATTTCAGAATTTCAGAATAAACCAGTCTTATTGAGACCTTTCTCTGCTCAAAGTTTCAAGTCGAAATTCGAAAGTCGATTTTTCAGTGAGCTTGAGGGAGACCATGACGGTGTACTAAAAAATGTCATAAAAATAAAAAATCTCGACAAGGGTTCAATGGCGCATCTTTGAGGATCTATTGAAGATAGATGATGATACGTTTTATCAAAAGATAGATTAAAACTTCCATTTGAACTCCGAGAAAATCCAGCAAATGAACTGCATTATAGATCAGTGACTATTTTTCACCATACTGATTGGAAGTTTTTGATCTTATTATAGCCTAAAGAGCTTCAAGAAGTCCGGACGGCCTGTAATATATAGCAAATACATAACACTGTACAAGTATTTGATGACTACAAAATATAAGTAGATCATCAATTAAAAATATAAATTTTACTTATATGGTCTAATTAATGATATTCACCTATTTTACGTACTTTGTGGTACCTGATATTTAATGCATACTCGCTATAGAGCGACATCCAAGATGCTCTTAAATCAGGACCATAGGCTTCAATGCTAGCTACGATATGGGTTCGAATCTCGAAAATTGATTTTGTCACCTGGCTGTCCACTGTGTGGGTGTGGGTGTGGATCGTTGATTTTGCTTTCACACCCACACACCCCCACCATTACTAACTGATTTACTTATTGTTGTTTCACAGGTTTCAGCTATTGAATAATTATAGGTTTTGTTTTTATTTTTGTTTTCATTAACACTTATCTTTTTCAATTTGATTATCAATCTAAAATACAAGCTATTGCAAGTAGTCAGGTAATCCTTTTTTTAAGATCGAAATTACTAAGTACTATGCACACCGCTTGTGTGAATGTTTACATCACTTTTTATAGTAGTACCGTGGTCGTTCACTGTGCATCATAGAGCATTGAACAGGAAACATTCGTATGATAAAAGAGACTGACGGATTCTCAAATAATTCTACTGTTTTTTAGATCTTGAAAATATCTTGGAGTTCCTCGGAATCATATGGAACCCAGGAATCCCGGAATCTGTTATCTCCCCTGTGTCCACACCCACACTCTATTAGGACTGTGCTTTCACTCAATATAGAGAAATGAGTGATACATCACGAAGATGAAGACAAACGCTTGAATACAAATAGTTCTGACATTGACTGCATTATTCTATAATCGTTTTGGTTTGTACAACACTCTATGTGAATAAAACAAAGATGTTGTGACGAATTATGACGGCATAGATAGTAGGCTTTAGTACTGTCTTGTTTTTCAAGTTTGCTTCATCGTTATATATAGATAAACGCATAAAAGGTTTCAATATCTTAACTAATATAAGGTTGATCTAGGCAAATAATATCAGATTCGAATTTGACCCATCCTTGAAATTCTAATTCTGGTGAGGCTCAGCTTAATAGTGCCCATTTCTGGTGAGGCTTAAGCCTATCAAGCCTATACCTTCTGCTGCCTATGATCACAACATATAAATAAATATATTAGAAGTTCGAATCTTCGCACTGAAATAATATTCATTTGATAAGTCTAAACCATCGTGCAAAAAAATATCCTATTAATAATTTGGGTAAGGCTGAGCCTCCAGACACCAAATTCTGGTGAGGATCATGCCTCACCCAGCCTCCAGCTTCCGCCGCCTATGCGTTCGACGCTGTCAAGAAAACCGAATCTGTTGTTCAATTCTAGATTAACCATTTGCAACTGCCGGAAGCCCGCTGCTGCGATGAATTCTGTTCGCAAGTTGATTGAGCAGCAATCGTTCGATGGTGCATGGATTTTAACCGATGATCAGGTACAACAATTGACAGGATGCAAATCGTGGACTTGTTTTATATCGACAGTCAACCAAGATAAAGACGTCATTACAACAGCACTAGCCATCGCTCTACTTGAATCGCAATATGTCCAACAAAAGAGTCTCTGGTTTATGGTAGTAGACAAGGGCCGCCGGAAACTATTGGACTATCGACTCAACAAGAACGAAATCGAAATACTTATCAATAAGATCAAAAACAAACTTTAATAGCTGTACACTGCAATCAATGATTACCGATGATCTGAATTTTTCTGGAAAAATGCATGAAAATTCAGAGAAACTTCGAAACTGTTATCTATTCTACCATTTAACTATCATTTATTACTATTTAGTTAGTAGAAATTTTTCTTTGAAAAAAATAATAAAACACATATTTGACTAAAGCCCTCGACAGATTAGAAGACCCCCCTTGGATAATTGAAGCAAAAGACATAGTAGACGACCCCCCTGACAAAATCGTTTTTTTTACAAATAATTTCTGGAGTTTATTAACTTCTTTAGTATTTAAGTCCATAATTGTATCTTAGATCAGTATGAACCATATTTTGCCTCATTCATGAAAATAATGCATCAGTTCGAAGTGAAAAAGGTCTTGCGAAACGATGAATAGGAAATAACTATTTAGTAAAGAATGTATTTCTTTATAGAACACATATCATGAAATCTTTTTAAGGGTCTTTTGCAACATATTCCGATGGAATTTTTACGGTTCTCTATACAAAAAACTTCTCATGACCGTGGGTTATGATGGACTCAGTGAAGAACCGTGGATGTAATGCATGAAGAGACCTTTGTAAAATAAAGGGTGATCAGAAAGTTTCGACCCTTGTCAGTAAATCGATGATATCTACAACAAGCTTCTATGAAGTTATTGATCAAATTATGTCATTTTGTAGAGAAAGGTTAGAGCTATATTCTGAAAAA